CTCCCCCGCCGGGGAGGAGGGCTGGCCCGGAGCGGCGGTGATGGCCCGGTTCCGCTGCCGGAGCAGAGCTGGATCCACAGAGAATTCCTCGGAGCCGGGAGGAGAGAGCACGGCCTTGCCTTCAGCATCCACAGCCCCCTGACAAGCCTCGCTGGGGCTGTTCCTCAGGCTGTTGTGCTTAAAGAATTTTGAGAAACACAATAATTTATAATCCTCATCTGTATTGATTTTATCTGTAAATAGACACTGACAGATAATGAATAGCAAACAGCACTCCAAGTGTAATTCTGCTTCTGCTGAGATCAGGGAAGGTTTCCCACTGACTTTTCCAAGGCCGGGATTTCACCTCTGGTTTTCATTCCTGGCATCGCCACTGCCTCTGTGACCTTCTGCAAGTTTCTGAGCTTTCTGCTTGCCTGATTTCCCTACATTTAAAGATACACTGGCTTAGTGGCATTGTTACAGTTTATATTCTTAGAGCTGTAAATACCAAGCACTATGGATTTCTAGTGCATATCAATGTTTATTCCTGGGTATGTTTTTACGTGATGGAGAAGGGGTTGGTGGCAGCCACAGCAGAACAAATTATCGACCTGTTCCCTCAAACCTCATGCCCTCTGATTCCCAGCTGATTTTCCATTTATGAGGAATAATAATAACACAGATAAGGGACAGACCATGTGACGGTGTGTGTAGAGAGGTACCTGGATATGCAATACTGTGTCTCCCTTTCAGATGCATCATTGGGATTGAGGGTTTTTCTTGGGTCAAAGTTTTGGGGTTCTAATTTACATTGAACAGCAGTCTTAAGCAGAGTTTTGTCCTGGAAGCAAATTCTCAATCAATCTGCCTGTGCAAAGGAAATCAGCTCTTTGTAGACTTGTAAGTGAATTGGTCATTGTAGCTGCTCCGAGAGGCTGCTTCAGTCATTTTGGTTTGTGAAATAAGAATTTTATAAAATTGATGAAGTTGTAAATCTCACTGGGGTTTTCCACCAGCACTTTGAAAGAAGCAGCTGAGATCAGGGCTCCCAATATGCTTGTGTCAAAAGCCATGGATGCATAGTGAAAGGACAAGGAGTGTGGAAAAAAATGTGGTTTAGAGGCAGCAGCACAGGAAGGCTCAGCAGTTGAGACCATGCCCACTTCATGTGGGGAATTGGAGGGGACTGAGCCCGGTTCCGCCTCATCAGTTCTGTCTTCAAAATCTTGGAGGATCAGCAAGGGAACCTTGTTCCTGAAAACTCTTGGTGGTGAAGCAAAGACCCGTGGATGTCCAGTCTCCAAAACTGGAGAGAACAGTTTAGCCAGAGCTCTGCAGGGAGCAGGGACCAGCTCCGGCTGTAGGTGTCACCTCTGAATAGGGGCAAACCACACTGCTCAGCTGACTGCTGTCTCTTTTGCTGCTGTGTGTGCACATGTACAACTCTCAGAAGCACAGGGCACAGAGCATCCTTCAAGCTAAACAGGACTACTGTCACTTACTCTTGGCTTTTATTATGAATAACGGTTTTTTCCAGGCTTGTAACCTCAATTGTAACTCTTCAAAATCACTGAGTACACGGTTACTGTGAGAGCCTCCAGCACCAGTTGTCTTGGTGTCTTAGAACCAGTCTAGAAAGGAGAAGTAACAGCTACAGCAGCAAGGGAGGGATCAGTGTGGGGGCACCCAACTATGTCCCTATTTGCTGCACTACAACCATCCTTTTGGGAGCCACATTCACCCAACTGGGGCAGGAGCAGCTGGTGGGAAGGACAGCACCAGTCACCATGCTTTGGCTCTCGTGTCTGTGGCACAGGGTGGAAGTTCCTGCCATGGTTCACTGCACAGGCTTTTGGTCATCACCACTGTGGGTGTTCTGAAGCCCTCGGCACAGGGAGTTTTGGTGTTACCAGCTGGGAGCTGTGGTGACCCTGTACGTGTTAAATCAGCCAGCAGCTGCAGCCAATCCTTATTAACTCCCAACACTGCCCAAGGATCGAACTGTGTGAAATGACAGAAGGCACACATCAAACCAAAGGCTCAGGATGCTGCTGCCATCCCACTTGCCTTCAGAAGCAATGAAGGAAGGATACCAGCTGTTGAGAGTTTGGTTCTGAACCCCTTTGGGTAACAGGTGGACACCGCCTTGGTGGCAAACGCTCATCTAACAGCCCTCCAGCGAAGTCAGAGATGCTCCAATACTGATGCTCCCAAAGCCTCTGGATGAGATTGCATCTTCCTTAACAGCTCTGGCTCTTGCATCATCACCCGTGAGACAATGCTGTGTGACCTGCAGAGGGGACAACATGGCCCTCCCATGGGGCTGCAAATGGTGAACAGCAGCAGCCTTGAGTCCCCCGGAACCCCTGGAGAGCTCTTCCCAACAGTGCTCTTAGGCAGCAGCACAGCTGTTTCCAGCATTGTCCTCATTTCCAATGAAGACAGCTCCTGCCCTCCTTGCCTCTGTGTACCACTCCTGCCTCCCTCCATGCCCTTAGTACTGGTGAGAGGTTCATGGCTAAACAGAACATGGTGCTCACTCCCCCATGTGGGACTTCAGATGTTCCTGCCACAAGCTGAGAGCTTGTAAAAGTTGGACAGGCAAAGCTGATTCAAACCCACTAAGGATTTCCTGTTTCAATTCTGGAGACAGGCTCCTTTTTCTGCATACACAGGAAAATCATGAAGGCTCTTTTCTTCCAAATCAGAGACAACAAACAGATCTCAATTCCAGATTTTTTTTTTCTTTGACTTTCTTTGAGGCTTGAAATCTATCAACTATTTTTAAAGGAAAACATTTTCATTGGTTAAAAAAAAGAGCCATTTTCTACTTAAGGGGAGAAGGGAAAGTTCAAAAGAAAATTTGCAGCCATTTCTACTAAAGACATTTCACTAGACAGAACAGAGTACTTGAAAATAGCAGTACATGTCCCCTGGGACTTGGCCAACCTACTTTCTGATGTTTCCTGATATGAGGTACCACAGCTCCTATCAAGAAGTTCAGCCCACCACAGCCAGGGCTGGCAGGAAGATGTACCTGTGGTGTGGTTTGCATTTCTGGTCTCTGGCAGACACCAGGTAACTCCCAGAACTCTTGCACTGGCACCAGGACATATGGCCCTCCAAAGAGGATGGCCTGGCCAGCCCCGGCCCTCTGGCACAGCTGGATTTTACACCTTCCATAAATACAACTACAGGACAATGCACTTGGGATCATTTCCTTACCAGCAAGTTGGGTGCTCAGCTGTTCCCAACCAGCCTGCCCCCCCGTGGAGACGCTGTCACAAATCTGCAAAGCCCTGGGCAGGAACAAAGCTTTGACCTTGGGGCGCTGCCAAGACCACTTACTGTGGCATTGATTTTAAACACATTCTGGTTGCAGGAATTGCAAAATGCCCTATGTGATCATGCCAGGGGGGCTGGAACAGTGAGCCACAGTGCTCCTTTGGTTCTACAGTTTCTGTAGAGAGAAAACTCAAGTCAGATGTGGGAAGCAGCTACCGAGGGACAGGCTTGTGGCACAGCATCTCCCCACAAAATCATTTAGATTGGAAAGACCTCTCAGGTCATTGAGTCCAGCCACTCACCCAGCACTGCCAGGTGATTAGATACCTCGATTTGCTGCAGCTGCCCTCCTTCTGAGCTGTGTGTAGGGAGCAAGGACAGATTCCTGGGATAAAGGGCTCTTTCAGGGGTTATTTTTATCTCTCTGTGCAGCAGCACAGGTGGGCAGCTTTTGAAGCTGCCTTGCCGAGGCCATTGATGACGTGGGCATGGACCCCTAGCCCAGCTCGGCTGCCAGGCAAATTACCAGGGAAGATGTTCCTCCTCCTGGAAGACAACATGACTCTCCTAACCATGCAGTGCTGATCGGGTTAGACAGGGCATATTGTATTTTTCATGTGCTGGATCGCTCGCTGCAGTTGCTGCTGTGTAATGTGGGGCTTGTCAAGTGAGAGCCAAAATCGTCTCTGGTGCACCTCCCACCTGGGGACGACGGGGAGAAATCCTGTCCCAGATGCATCCTACTCAGTGATAAAATATTTCCTAGGGCCAGATTCAGAACAGACATGCATGCTATGATGCCAGGGTTCATGCAGCAAGATTTTCTGCCTGTGCAGTCTCAGAGCAGGCAGGACAGGAGCCGACCTCAGAGGCACTGGAAGGTGAGAGGGCTGAGGCCATTCCGTGGGGATCAGCTGAGCAGGGCTGCTTTGCCCACAGCCACAGTACCCATGGAGAGGGTCGAGGAGAGAAGGCACCACCCTTCACCACAGGCTCTGCCCCTCACAACGGGCTGGGGCTTGCAAGCCCAGCACACTGCTGCACGTTTGATCACCAGCCATCTCCACTCCCTGCAGGCCTGGACCGTGAATTTGGTTGCAATGGAGACCGTGTCCCTGGAGCACCAGATCCAGAGCGTGCAGCGGCACATCGCTTTCCTGAAGAAGGAGCAGATGGAGCTGCTCCATGACCTGCACCTGGAGATCCTCCGGTTGCAGAAGCACTGCTCAGGTGAGTGATGGGGTGGCCACAGCGTGTGGGAGCTGATTGCTCATGGAGCACCTTGGGCAGGAAAGCTCCATGAAAGCAGGAAAGCATGCCAGGCTGCTCACACAGGTGCTCAGCAAGATGCAGAGGAGGCGAGGGCCAGGCTGCAGCTCAGGCTCAGGGCCCTGCCTGGCTGTGGCTCTGGGGTGCACAGCTATCCCCCACTCTGCTGCAGCAGTGTCACACTCCCCTCCAGCCACCCCTGCAGCAGTGACGGGTGCCCAGCCTTCTGCCACCACTGAAACTCATTCCAACTTGTGTTGCTGCTGTCATCAATAATTCAGCCATAGCTAATTACTCCTTGTCTTCCAGGCTCTCATTCTCCCAGGTTCCTGGGAAACAAAGAAATGTCTGCACTGATAAAATTGGCTCTTTTTCCCTATCCTTTCTGAGCTTTTGCTGTTCTGTTTCATTGTTTTAATGGCTTCATCTATGGCCTCTTCAGGCAGGCAAAACAGTGGGGGTCTCCTGTCCAAATCAAACTTGGGGAGTCTGTCCCTGCAGGCTGAAATGAGCCTGCTGCAAGGGTGATCTCCTCTTCCCAGTATGACCCAAGGACAGCTGTGTCTGATCATGGTCCTGTCCTCCTGGGTGAGGCTGTGATTCTGCCAGGAGTGATGGGGGCAACCCCTGGGTAGTTTTAAGTAGACTTTGCTGACATGTGAGTGTCATTATCTGGGGGGCTGTTTGCAGGAGGGGAGTAGAGTCTATAAGTCAATTTTTCCCCACTGTGGCCCTGTGGAGCCTTGCCTGCTGCCCTGGCACTGTTGTTTCTGACATTTTCACTATCCCCCTGATCTCTCTGAGCCTTTCCCTGTGGGAAAGGCTCTCCCTGCCACAGAGGTGGTTCTCAGCTGCCCCTCAGGAATCATGAGGATGGTACTGCAGCAGATCAGTGCCATCTCCCTGGCTCCAGCACAGAAACTGGGACCCCAGGCTGTGCATCATCCCTGCACTTGCTCAGCAGGATGATGTCTTTGGAAATAGGCAACTGCTTTGGCTTTCATTTGAAATATATCTGAGACTCCAAACCTATTATTTTAGCTTCAGAAAAATAGCACAATGGCCATTGATTCCCACCGGGTCAGTTGAGAGTGCTGAACGCTTTCCAGAAACTGCATTACATTCTCAGGTACTTCTGCCTTCTCACTAGATTTGTTTTCCAAGACAGACGGGCAGAGCAGCCTGAGCCAAGCATTCTGTTTCAGAAGGATGGCAGTGATGAGGATTAGAGTCAACACAAAAGCAGATTAAAAGAAAAATGTAGGGCAAAGATTAACCATTTCAACTCATTTTCAGGAGGAAAAATAGCCTCCAAACAGCTGAATGCCACTGTTGCCACTCTCTTCCTCTGCTCAGGGCTGTTAGTGGTGGGGAGGGCTGTGATAATTAATTCAAAAGGGACTGTCTGTAAGAGTGCAGGGTAAAGTGAACTCCAGAAGGTTCCTGAGCTGCCCCTTGTGACCTGGTGCTGTAGCCTGGGGCTAGACAGCAGGCAGGCAAAGAGCAGCAGAGAGGAGGCAGCATGTTGGGGCTCAGCAGGTAGGTGCTGCAGCTTTTGAGATTTGGAAGGGATTTGGAAGCTGCACGTTGCCCTGGAGCAGGGCAGCATCCTTCTGCAGGCACACTGTGCTGGGACAAGGCCGACCCTGCTTGCGTCACGTGCAGAGGCAGCGATCAGCCTGCAGCAGTAAATTATGAAATGCTTTGGGTGACAGCTTACACTTTGGTCTATTTGCAATCCATTGCTCTGCTCTTTGTCCTGGTTTAAAGCACTAAAAACGGTTCAGCAGCTCTCGTAGAAAAAGGAAAGACATTGTCAGAGGAGCAGAACCTCCTGCAGACAATGTCTTGGCCATGAGGCTGCTTAATTTGCCAGAATTGCATATTTTTAGCTTAGCCTGTGGCTGCTGCTCCAAGGTGGCCACACTCCCATGTGGGCTGGGCAGAGATAGCACTGCAGCCACAGTGATGTCCAGTGCCTCAAAGGGAGCAGAGGAAGACAAGGGGAACACAGAATGGACGGGATGCTCCTCCTCAGTCCTGTTGAATTTCTCTTCCAGAGCTCACCCATGACCTGGAAATGAAAGAGATGGAGGCCCGCCAGCAAGGTAAGAGCACAGCTTTGGGCACAAGAGAAGGGGGAGTAGGTGTGGGTGCGGCCAGAGGGGACCCATCAGGGCTGCAGGGAGGGGAGTGGACCCTGCCTGTCGGGGCAGAGGGGCTGAGGGTGGGACTGGGAAAGCAGCGTGCACAGCCTGCTGGCAGCCCAATGAATGCAGGTGATGTCCGGGAGCCCTGCGGCCAGCAGAGGCTGCTCTGTGAGCTCTGTGAGCTCCTCTCGCTCTGAAACTCCTCCCTGGCACTGCCTGGGCACGGCCCCTGGCACCAAGGCCCAGCCTGTGCTCTGTCCTCAGTGCCAGAGCAGCCGGTCCCTGTGTGGGTGTGGGTTGCTCTCACCGGGGCCAGCGGGGTCCCCGCCCTTGGCACCCTCACACAGTGCCATGGCTTGCTCCATGAGAATTCCAAACTCACAGCCCCTCCCACGGAGCCAGGGGTTCCTTCTCTGCACCCGTGGGCTTTGCTGGCAGAGGGCCTCTTGCCCAGCCCACGAGATGCCATCGAGGTGTCACCAGCCACAACGCAGCCAGTCTCCTCCAGGTGCCTGCCCATCCTTCAGCCTATTAGAGCTGCACAATCACTTTGCCACGTTTATGGGGCAGCACCTCATTTACGATGCCATCAAATGATTGCTCTTCTAATGCCATTCATGCAATAATTACTGCCTGCAACTGCCTCCCTAAGACCTCATTATAAAGCTGCAGAAACACTGAGGAGCTGAGGCTGTAAGTGGCTGCCAATCACATCATAAAAAGTAGATTACTGCAGAGGATGGGAGCAGGCCTGGGCAGGCCAGGGAGCGCGGGCAGGTGCCAGCCTGCACCCTGTCAAGGGCTGGTGCTGGAGCAGGCAGCCAGGGCTGGGGTCAGGGCTGCCCACTGGGCTTGGCCCCACAACCCCAAGCTCTGAATTCCCCAAGCTGCCTGGCCATCATGCCCAGGACAGCATTCCCCAGAACCTGCTCCCCCCTCCCGGGATGGAGGCTCCTTCTCTGCTGAGCTCAGCCCAACTCCTCTGTAATCCTGGATTAGCATCTCCATCCTGACTAACCAGGCTTTGGAGTCCCGGGGCTTGAGGCCAAAAGTCCCTCCAAAGTTGAGCTGGTGGTTTCACTGCACCATTTCCTTTTCTGTCCCAGCTCGTGCACTCCCCCTGCCCACATTCAAAGTCACGTTTAGGGTGAAAAACCACTTACCTAGGGAAATTTTAAAACTGCAGCAAGGTAGAGGCAGCAGGTTCCATGGCAACAACATCCTCCACCGAAACTGCCTTTTGCTTTCACCCCACATTTGGGTGTTAACACACGGCGCCCTGCCAGCGGCCTGTGCCGGGGTTCCTGTGCCTGCGCTGGCAGTGAGCCCATGCCCGGGCAGCTCACAGGGAGTACTGGATCCCAACAGCACCCGAGCAGCCTCAATGGCGCTGCTGGGACAGGCTGGCACCATGCAGCGCTCAGCACCCGAGTCCCTGTTGGGAGCGTGTGGGGCCCTGCCAGGAGCAGTGGGGCCGAGCTCCCCCTCCTGACCCCTCTGTGCCTTGACCCACAGATGTCCTGGACCGCGAGCTGGAGGAGAAGTGCCGGGCGATGGAGGCCCAGCTGCAGGAGAAGGAGAAGGACAACCTGGAGCTGCGCAAGGAGCTGCAGCACAAGGAGACGCTGGTGGCTGCGCTGCGCTCCAGCCTCCGCAGCAAGGAGCGCCGGTTCCTGGAGGAGCTGAAGCGCAGGAGCCACCGCGTCACCATCCTCGACACCGAGCTGCAGAAGCAGACGGAGGCGGCCGCCTACCTCTCGCTGCAGCTGCACGCCACGGCCCAGCGGCT